TTAGTCGAAATCCTTCTCTCACACTCAAAATTCCTTTCTGTAAATCCAAAACATTTCAATCCTCATATTTCAACCGGCTTGTCAAGTTATGGAACCACGTCTGCAAAATTCTTCCCTCTACCACCTTTGCCATCCTCTCCATCTTCAAAAGATCTCTTAAAGCCACTTACGCTAACTTGGTTACGGCAACATTTGACGTGGACATGCCATGCACCTGGACACTGGTGCGGGACTGCCCCTGCCACAGATCTTAAGTAGTTTTAATAGACGGTTCCTCTTATTGTGTTCACTGAATGCAACCACATTATGCTTGTGAGTTTGAAATTATTATGCAAATACATCCGTGAAGCATTCATTATGCTTGTGAGTTTGAAATTATTATGCAAATACATCCGTGAAGCATTCATTATGCTTGTGAGTTTGAAATTATTTTGCTAACACATCCGTGAAGCATTCAGGTGGTTGTGTTCATGGTGCATACTAATAGGGGGAAGCGGCTTTTATATATTTGTATTTTATGTATGTGTGTATTTATATTTATGTAGGTATTCGCTGCTTCGGGGTTTGCACCTTTGCATGGGACTTCGCGTCTCGTTTGTGCTTATGCCATTTGAGTTCATATTAATTATACATAATATTAATTATATATAATATTAATTATATAATGTAATGTTCTCAATAAATATATTTGAAAAAATTAAAGAGTTGTACCCTACCTATCGTATTCCAATTCGCTCCATTCATTTTAGCGTGGACATTGCTGTAACCTTTCTTTAAAATCATCATTGTATCCGCGTTATCAAATCCTACAATGATCAAATATCTACATCACCACTACTTTTCTATAGGAATATGAGGGTAATCAATTACTATACTATAATAACTGTACAAATAATCGACAAGTAATGCAAATGGTCGCATGATACCCCAGCTCGAATGAAGCTTTGTGTAGTTGATAATTCTTGGCTCACAGATTGACCCATCTCCAGCACACACACCACAACGATCAAATTCATTTCCATTTAGTTGCTTGTCACAACCGAAACGCTAAAATACAAATATTAAATGTAGGCTGTTTAATTAAAACATTATAGGTCCTATAATGAAAGGTTGTTCAATTGAGGCCAATGAGCTACTGTTTGAAACGGCTAGTATATACTAGCCGTTTCAAACAGTAGCTCATTGGCCTCAATTGAACGACCTTTCATAAAACACAATGCTACTGAAGGACAACCACCTACGTTTAATAGGTCCTAATGATGGTAGTTAATTATACAACTATATTTGTTTAAAATTTTATTTTATTTTGATTATTGCATGATATTGCCGTATAATAATATTTTTAAATATTAACGGGTGGGGTAGGGGGGCGGTTGCCCCCACACAGATTGTTGGACAGACTAGGCCAGTCGGGCAATATTCGCTTCACAGTCGGGCGATATTGGCTTATTATAAAAATATTTGGGGGGGAATATGCTATATAATAGTCGAAAATAGAGGGAAAATATAAAAGTTATAATAATTATATATTCCCACCGTGGCCAGGCATATTTTTCAAGCTTGCCCGGTGCGGGATATACACTCAGAGTAACATCACAAGCATCAATTATAATACATTCCGAAATTGTTTTCGTCCTCCCCCTCCGTCGACAAAAATTTTGGAAAGTTTGCACGGAAAATATTTTTTGACAAGTCGGGCACAATGGGAGAAAGTCGGGCAAATTTCTTTCCATCCCCCCCCACACCCCCCTAATGTTTTCCATCACGTACGGCCATAGATATAGGAGATCTAGATTGCTAACGCATACCTAGCGCAGGCGGGGCCTACATGATAAATCCAGGATGGCGGTACAACAGGGCAAAAAGACTATTAATTCTATTACGAAAATCAGGATTTTTGCATTTTTTGCCGTCGCATTGTTTTGAAACTTATTCGGTCAAATTTTATGGTAAAGAGAAACTTACCGCGAAGATTTTGAGCATATATATGATTGAATTGGATGAAAACTCGCAAAATTATGCATCGATAAAAGTTCGTGTATAGTACTGATATAGTACTATATATGTAACTTGTACAGTTTTGCTTTAATTTTTGCTCACTATTTGCATAAAAAGCAAATTATAACAGACCATAGATGATAGACCCTCATCCAGTGCTCTCATCAGTTTACTTCTCTAACAAGCAAGGAGGGGGGGAGGTACATAACAGTTCATTTTTCATAATTATGAGGACAGAGCAGATGATGATGAAAGATGCAAGTATAAAACACCATTCACAAGGCTAGATGTTAACATAGCACAGTATTTCTGGCAATAAAACGCTCCAACTGACCAACTGACCATTTCACACGAACATTTATCGCTGGATAATTTTGCGATTTTTCATCCAATTCAATCATATATATGCTCAAAATCTTCGCAGTAAGTTTCTCTTTACCATAAAATTTGACCGAATAAGTTTCGAAACAATGCGATGGCAAAAAATGCAAGAATCATGATATTCGTAATAGAATCTATAGTCTTTTTGCCCTGTTGTACCGCCATCTTGGATTTATCATGTAGGCCCCGCCTGCGCTAGGTATGCGTTAGCAATCTAGGTCTCTTATTCAC